GTGGTTAATAAATGTTTCATTCATTCATTCATTCATGATAGTGTCATACTATCATTAGTTAAGATCTTAACGTACAATATACACTTAGGGAGAGATTATTAGTAGTGGATGAAAATCCATATTTCAAGTAATATTGATAATTTCTCTTTTTTGGTCTTATATCTTATCAAATCTGAGTAGATCACTGTTGTTTTCACCTTGTAATACAAGTGATAAAATGTTCATACTAAAATAGGGATTTTTTAACCTCTTTTGTGTGATAGTTCCTTTTGGCAGTCTGCTGAAGCCTACTCAGACTCAGATTTTCCAAAGCTTAAAATAAAATACACTAGGTTACAAAAATAAAACCAGTTATACTAAAATACAATTATCAAAAATTTTTAAAACATGTTTATAGACACCAAGAACCCCCATACTAAGAGATGAAAGAAAAAAATAGCTTTCTACTCTGTCATTTTCTTATTCATCATGCTCCCATTATTAGTATTATCTTCAATTTACCATTTCTTTGAAGGAAACTTATAAAGTGCCTTGTCCACTTTGTGAAGATTGCTGAGTCATTCCAATTGTGTCCAACTTTTCAATACCCCATTTGAGGTTCTCTTGGCAAAGATTCTGAAGCAGTTTGCCATTTCCTTCTCCAGCTCATTTTACAGATGAGGAAACTGAGGCAAACAGGATGAAGTAACTTGCCCACATCATGCAGCTAGTAACTGTCTGAGGCCGGATTTGAACTCCTGAATTGGAGTCATCCTGATTCCAGGCCTGGTACCCTAGGCACTGCACCACCTAGTTGCGCTTGTGAAGATTAGCTTAGTTAAAATGAATCTATAAATTCATTTAACCAGGCACACAAAGATATCCTTCATTCAGAACAAGCTGGAAAAAAAGGAACAAATGAAAGGGTCCCTTTCACCTTATGGAATGCCCATTCTTCCTTTAGATGCCTTGAATTCTGTGTGGGTCTCATGACCATTTGACGCACAGATCAAATGTGGGAGCTAACAACAACTATCTATTAAATATTAGTGCAGCTTAATTTTCTCTTACTTTTTATATTCCAAAATGGAAGTTCTAATATTGTTTTCTATACCCTCATCATCCTATGCACTGCTTGGGGTATGCACACCCCATTTAGGAGATCACAGCATTCCATGATATGGCCTTTTTTGTATCACATTCTTATGAAGTGGTGTGATGGCATGACAAGATGTGTAAAGTTTGGGCTTCATTATAATCACTGTGCCTTTATACACAAAGAAGGGGTTAGCCTTCTTTGTACCATGGACTCCTTTGGCAGTCAATCTGGTGAAGCCTATGGACCCCATCTCAGAATAACATTTTAAAATGCAGAAAACAAAATACAGAGGATTACAAGGGAAACCAATTATTTTGAAATACAATTATAAAAACAGATTTTTTTAAAAAAAGTTTGCAGACCCAAATGTAGAACCCCTGCACTAAATTTCACCAATTACGTTTTCCTTTTGTGATCATGCCATGTTCCTCTCCTGGATGTTGCTGTCGTCAAGCTTTGATTTCTTCTTTTTATACACATTAACCTCTACTGACCCAGGAATCTAAGTCTATTTTGGAAAATGGACCCTCAGAAAATAAAGCCCTTGTGTGTCTCCACTGGGAGTTGCACAGCCTTTTATGCTGTCCCAGCCATATCTGAAGTTCAGGGTCCACAGACAGATCTGCCACTCTCTAGCCTTGGAGGATGTTCTATCTGAACTTGGGGTGGAGAACATGGCAGCAGTGGGGGCGGGATTTCTCCAAGATTGATTAAGAGATATTATTACCCAGCTGTTGATGCTGAACATACATTCAATAACGGAAACAAGCCCCCATCCTTTCATTCCTTTTTATTCTGAGGACTTTGTCAAAAGAACACCTACCAGCAATATTGGAGGTGTAGGCGAAATGAATGACTTAGTGGAATCTGAGTATAAGTCATTCAAAATAAGAGCTATCAGTATATTCCTTAGGCATTCAATACTGGTACTATTCTAAAATTTGGCTTACGTATGGTTGACTCAATGGCTCTAGCCCATAACATGTTGATGAGTAACACAATATAAACTAAGAATGGCATTGGGTTATAGCTAAAAACCCTATTTCCCTGAGGAGCTCAAAGCACTTTACCATGCCACCACCCACACATCCTTCCTCTCCTCTTTTCTACCACTAGTTCTGGTAGCAAGATTCCAATCTACAATACCATTCCTGGAAAGATATGTCTATTTTCCAATGGATCCCTTCACCATCCCTGTTCTTCTCAGTCCAAACTACCCCTCCCTGGTCACCATTCCCTTATACGTGCTGTATTGCTTTGTTATGAGAATGCAAGCTCCTTGAAAGCAGAGACTACCTTTCTTTTTGTACCCTCAAATCTTTCCATTTGTTTTGTATAGTACAGTGCCTGGCATAAAATAAACACCTAATAAATTGTTTTCATTCTTTCATTCATTAATTCACTGCTGTTGGGGGCCAACCTGGAGCACTGGAAATGAAAGGGTTGGGATTCTCATGAGACGCAAACCAATGTACTAGTGCTGCTACCATCTGCATGAAATGTTTGCTTATGTTTGCCCTGCTCCTCCTGTCTAAGACTGCTGTTCCTAGGAGAGGCAGCCTGGCTAAGCTGAATGGCATCCCTAGTCTCTGGACCCTTAAACATAAAATGCACATAAAGCAGTGGCTAAGCTTGTAGCACGCCCAGAGTACCTTAAGACCAAGACAACTACTCTGGTCCAATTTTATCTAGTTATCTGATGCTTTGGAGAAACACCCAGAGAATATCAGCTGCCATATCATTCAGTGGAGCTCAAATGAAAAGAGAAGGAAGAGGAGGAGGAGGAGGAGATAGAGGAAAAGGAGGCAGAAGAGGAGGAAGAGAAAAGAAGGAGAAAAAGGAGGAAGAGGAGAAAAAGAAGATAATGATGATGATGATGATGATGACAAGGACAATAATGACAATGACAGTAAAAAGAGAGAGGTGGCCTTAGAGTCAGGAAGATAAAACTTCAAGTCCCCCTTCACATACTAGCTACGTGACCCTGGGCAAGTCAATGAACCTTTCAATGCCCCAGGCAACTTTCTTACTATAAGTTAAAGAGCATTTGCCCAGTTGCCCTGGTAGATGGAGCTTCTTATTGGGAGTTTCCTCCGCCAGTGAAATCCCAGAGCCAAAACAACAACAACCAATATTTACCTACCATTATTGCGAAATACATTACATGCATTATCTCTTTTATGTTCCCAATAACTAGGTACTACAGGAATTATTACCCCAATCAGATGAATAATAGATAATAAAATGGATAAATGACAGATAAGTAGATGAGAGAGAGAGAGAGAGAGAGAGAGAGAGAGAGAGAGAGAGAGAGAGAGAGAGAGAGAGAGAGAGAGAGAGAGAGAGAGAGAGAGAGAGAGAGAGAGAGAGAGAGAGGGAGGGAGGGAGAGAGAGAGAGAGAGAATATTAAGTGCTTACTAAGAACTGGAGATACAAATTCAGGCAAGCTTGACAGTGTTTGACCTCAAGGAACTAACATTCTAATGGGGGAAGACAATACATTAAGAGTGTTGCTGTGTAGATGAGGGAAGAAACATTTTTAATCATGTTGAGAAAGTGTGATCTTTCCTGGTTATTTCAGGAAATCTTGGTTTTCTTAGTAAAGGACACCTGTCAGAAACCCTAGGGCCCATACTGTGAACCTTCAGCAAATCATTTAATTCCTCTGCACTTGACTTCTTCATCTGTAAAAAGACACAACACTCATGCAAATGATTAAAGTGGTTGGGAGGTCTCAAAATTCAATTAGTTCAATTCAACAATTAAGTCCTTACTCCATGCTCCATGTGTTGGGCCAGGTACTGCTGGGAGTAGTTGAGAACAGAGAAAATTCAAGACAAATAAGACATGGTCCTTGCCTTCATGAAAATTTCAGTCCATTAGAAGATATACACACAAAGAACTATAATGCAAAACTATAATAATAACTGACATTTATATAAGCACTTCAACATTTATGTAGGTTTGTTTATCTGAGTCCCACAACAATCCTTCAAACTACATGGGATGAGAAAAATATCAAGAAACGAGAAGTTTAAGAATGAGAATAATTAGGTTTTAAATTGAAAACCACCTGAGCACATACTACAAAGTCTTCATAGGCAGCTGCAACATCTATGTACAGGATATGAATACTACCTCCTTCAAAAAGATGAGGAAATTGAAAGCTCAGAGAATTGCCCAGAGTTACACAGCTAACAAGGGGGAGGGGGGCAGGATTTGAGCCCACGTCTTTTTAAGTAAGGGTCCAACACTTTTCTCCCTAGGCTGTACTGCCTTTCGAAAACAAGACTCAATTAAGAAAGATATAAAAAGTCATTTTGTAAAGTCTCAGGAAGGAAAGATGCTGAGACCCTGTAACAATATAAGGGTTTGTTTGGAGATCTCAGATTGAAACGCTTCAAAGAAGCCAATTATATTTAACAAAAATTGGGCATGTAATAACGTGTGTTTCTGTCTCCTTTTTCATCTTTGCTCTTGGAAAGTAGACTGAGATAAGGACAGTTAGAATAGGCATATTAAGTGAAATGTTAATATTCCATCAAGGAGGGATTTGCAGCCGATGTTTTTTCTTCCAACACCAGTACTGGAAAATTATGTGTTTGTGTGTGGCTTTTACAAAAATCTTATTACAATTGAGAACAGCTGAGTTAGAAAACCCTTGGAGAACGGCATTCATCATAATGCAAATGTCAACAGACTCTTCACCAGGCAGCACTTTGAGGCAGCTTACCATAATTACTCTTCCTCCAGCCACAACTATAAGAAAGCACACCGCTAACCTTTGCCTGGCTTGCGTCAAAGAAATGCTGAACATTTTCTCTCTCTCTCTCTCTCTCTCTCTCTCTCTCTCTCTCTCTCTCTCTCTCTCTCTCTCTCTCTCTCTCTCTCTCTCTCTCTCTCTCTGTTGTGTGTGTGTGTGTGTGTGTGTGTGTGTGTGTGCATGTTTTTTCCCCAACATAAAATGTTTCCAGAAAACAGCCTTCTTTAATTTGGGTAACATTTAACTTTTTCCATACATGCTTTGGAAAAGCTACTAATGAAGTTACAAGAGAACCCCACTGAACAAAGGTGAGTGTCTTCCCAGCCACCTGTGCCTGTCTGGATATATGCTGTCGTTGGAGTTATGTAGTGGTATTTTCCATGTGTGGCCATACCCACACACGTGCATATATATGAATGTTTCTGAGGGGCAGTATATGGTAATGAATAGAGATCTTCCTGAAAAAAACAAATGGTTCCAAGTCAAGATATCCAAATGGGATCTAGGATTCTGGACAGGAAATAGTAATCAGAAGGAGAACAACTGTTAGTTCAGTGAAAGATGGAAATTGTTGAAGTGTGGAGAGTGAAACTAGAAAAAAACTTCCTCTCTGAGTAGCCAGGAGACAGTTTTATATAGAGTGAGAATGCAATCAAAACTAAGGATTATGGGCTTCTAGGCATGGAAATAGTCTACACAGACAGAGATACCCAGACTGAGAGAATTCAGCAAGAATGGTCTCTCTCATGGGACTGAATTAGTCTCTATACTTACTCTATTGCCTTCCTGGACACTTTTTTAAAAAGCTGCACCACGCTCTTTTCAAGCTCCACAGAGCCGGGGCTGCGCTTCTCTAATTGGGAGTGTGAGCCGGGACTATTTCTGGAGCTGCCCCTCCAAGAGGGCAGCCGCATTTGCAGCAAACGGCAGCAGCGGGGGCGGGAGGAGCCAGAGCAGGGAAGCTTAGCGAGGTCATTCGCTCGCAGTCCGCGCTGCTCCCCCGCAACCCGCAGCTACGCACCCAAGCCGGCCCGCTGCCGAACGCCATCCCCCTACCCTTTACCACCTCTCATTAGAGAAGGGGGAGGATGAATGAATCTAGTTCGAAGTCCAGCCAGCCTCTGGCCTCCAAACAGGACAAAGACGGGTCTGAGAGGAGAGGGCGAGGTCGACCCCGGAAACAACACCCGAAGGAGCCCAGTGAGGACCTCGGGGCAGACCGAAAGGGAGTAAGAGCAAGGGGGCTGCCAAAGGCCGGAGAACTGCCACCGCACCAGGGAGGAAACCAAGAGGTAGACCCAAAAAGCTGGAGAAAGAAGAGGAAGAAAGGATATCCCAGGAGTCTGCAGTAACCAAATCTGCTTATATCTCGCTACCTCGTTCCCCTTGATGACGATGACAAACCGCGGCGACCCTTTCATTCTGGGACTAGACAGAAAAATGTTGATCTTTAAGTCCTCATTTTTCTTCCCCCACCGTTCCTTTCCCTCAATCTGCCCTTCCTGGTTTTACTGGTCAGAGAAATAATAGCTCTACCTGGGAAAAATGCCTCCCCATTCACACATTGGACGTATTCACACTGACCCTGGCCACCCCATATGGGATTGTGCTGGGTAGGGTGGAGCAGGCAGCAGGTGGTTGAGCCTCCCTCCCCCCATCTCCCACATCCATCCATCCAGCCATCCACCCATCCATAGACACACCCATCCTTTCCCAGGATTGGGATTTCTTTTGTATTCCTCCTTCGCCGGACTGAGCTAACCTTTTGACTTAGCTGCCAACACCTGTTTCTTTGTCTCTTGCCCCTCTGGAATGGGACCAGGGTTCCTGTTTTCCCATCCCCCCCTCCCCTACTCCAACTCAAAAGGGTTTGACAGGGAAGGACAGATGTGTGAGTATCTTGATCCTGACGACTCATCTTCAATTGACTTCTGTTTGGGGATATTCTGTACCCCCACCACCCCTTCTTTCTACCTTCTACTCACTCAAGATTGGTCCCAAGGGTGGAGATGGGAGCAGACTTTTAACTGGGAGTAGAAGGGGGGGTCCAATACCCATCCCTTTCCCCCTTCTGCCCTCTCCACACTCTGGCATTTCCTGAGTATCAAACTGGCATGGGGCTGGGCTGGAGCCTAAGGTGTCAGGCACTAACTGAGAAGTAGCTAAGGGGAAGGGAGAGGGTCTGATTCATCTGTTTCCTTGCTGCTCAGAATATCTAGGGAGAAGGGGGGGACTTGACAATACTATTAAATTCCCCCAATCCGGGGCTGGCCTTCCCTGGCCCGTGATTTTTGCCTTTGGAATGCATGTTTTGTAAGGATTTTTCCTCCCAGCCCCCCCATCCCTCCTTTCAGAATGTCATACCTCCCCTAGGAGCTGGTCACATCTTCCCTCCGTTCACAATCTACCTCTGAACACATTTTGGTGGTTTTCCTTTTTTAAATGGTTTTGTTCGTACATTCTGTGGCTTCCAGACTCAGCCATGCAGTTTTGCTGCTTGTCACGTTCACCTGCCCTCTACCCCTCCTCCATCTTCACCCTGTTCATCCTCCCCAAATCATCACAAAGGAAGGCTTGGGGAGATAGTGGACGCCAGGCCTAGTTTACTAAAAAGTGACATTGTTTGGGGAGGTGGGCCCTAGGGGAGCTGCCCAATCCCACTTCTATCAGTCCCTACTTTGGTAATCTTCAAGTTGAGAGGGTTAAGGGAAGGAGGTCCAGCCGAAGTGGGAGAAGGGGTGGTCCCAGATTGTCATGAGGCCCCTCCCCCTCTGGTTTCCTATTTGCAGTTACTTGAATAAAAATTAATTCCTTTTTTCTGGAAAAAAAAAAAGCTTCACCACTTGAAGTACTTTTTATGCCACTTCCGAATATAAGCCTGTTTGGACAGGAAGGACCTCGAGTCCTCAAATGAGGCCAAAAGTCTGAGCCTTCATATTAATTAAATATTACTTTTTAAAAATATTATTATTCCTTAAATAAATAAATTGCATATATACAGCACTTTAAGATTTGCAAAGTGCTTTACATGTGATATATCATTTAGTGCTCTCAACAACCCCATGAAGTAGGTACTATTATTCCCATTTTATAAGATAAACCTTACAGATAAGATTTATAGATAAGATAGATAACTGAGGCTGAAATAGGTTAAATGACTTGCCCGGGGTCACATAGCTAGTTAGTGTCTGAGGCCAGATCTGAACTTTGGTTTTCCTGATGTCTGAGTCCAATACACTATCCAGTAGCTGCCTCACATTGTGATGAGCCATCTACATAAGATCATAGGACTGTAGATTTAATAACAATAGTCAGCACTTACATAGCTCTTTATAAACATTATCTCATTTTATCCTCACTCTGTGATGTAGGTACTCTTATTATCCCCAATTTATGGATGCAGTAAGTGGGATGAACAGAAATTAAGTGACTTGTCCAGTGTCATTACAGCTATTAAGTATCTGTGGATAGATTTGAGCTCGGGTCTTCTTGACTCTAGGTCAAGCACTCACTTTATCCACCTGACCACTAAGCTGCCTGATTTAGAGCTGGAAAGGACCTTAAAGGTGATTGGGTCCAACCCCTTTGTTATATAGATAAGGAAACTGAGTCTTAGAAAGATTAAGAGACTTGCCCAAGGTCACATAGGTAGAAGGTGATAGGGGAAGTCACTTTCTTGAGCCAGGAATGGGATAAGCAGAATATCAGACTTGGAAAGGACCTCAGAGATCAATTAAGCCAACCCATACTTGAACAAGACTCCTCTAGATAACATAGCCAACAAGTATAATCTAGCTTTTGCTTAAAGAGATCCAGGAAGGAAGAAACCACTACCTCCTAACATAGTCCTTTCCACTTTTGGACAATTCTCATTAGGAAGTTTTTCCTCACATCAAGTCTAAATCTACATCTCTGCAATTTCCACCCACTTCTCCCAAGTCAGTCTTTAGGGCCAAGCAGAGCAAAGTTATCCACTTATCCCCTTTTCCATATGACAGCCCTTCAAATCCTTCAAGAGAGTTAGTGTATTGCCTCTAAGCCTTCTCTTCTGCAGCATAGACACTGACTTCAACTCCAGTCCTTCCAATAATCTTTTCATGAGCATCTTTCATTTCCCACCTGGTTACAGTCCTTTGGACTTTGCTGTCTTATCCCAGTGCCAGGTACCTGCCCCACCCCAACCTCCCTTTTAATCTTCCTTTTTTTGTGCTGTCTTCCTTCATTAGATTGTAAGCTCCTTGAGGAGTTGGGCTCAAAACCAGATTCCATGATTCTAAATCCCTGGCTCTTTCTACTATACTACCCTGCTTCAAGGAGAGAGAGGGAAAGAGTTGAACAAGAAACAAGAACCCCAAGGGTAATGATAATTAAGTTTTAAATGGAAAACTGCCTGAGAATAGCCTACACAGTCTTCCTAGGCAGATGCAACACAGATGTAAATGATATGCAAATGTCTGTGACTCATAACTCTGTCATGTACTTAGATGTGGCTCTTAGGAAAACCATAATAGAGACAATTGTTCTAAATTATTAGGGGCACAAAGGCAGGGGGAATAGAGTGAAGACAGAAAAGTACTCAGGAGCAAATGTTTTTCTCATTGAGTTTGGTGGGGATGAGTAAGGACCCCCCCCCAATGTTAGAAGATATTTTCATTGTTAAAAATCAAGAAGGTCTTTTACATGTGCCAAATTGATTTGGGGTCTTGACTTTCAGCATCATGATCCGTAAAACTGAGGGTAGGGCCTGTCTTAAAAAGTCAAGTGTGATTGATGAGACCAATGAGTTGCAATTACAGTGAATTAATCTTACCTGCCTGTTCTTGGCTCTGGACTACATGACTTTTCTCTAATGCCACATGGCCCCCTATGCCAAGTGACACTCAGACACTTGGGCCTTGCAGGGAAATTTGGCTTCTGAGCATCAGTATCAAGACCTGGCAGGAAAGAGTCAAATTCTACCCAAGAGAATATGCCCAACTCAACTGCAGTGACCCAACTAAAGACTGTCAAGTTTTTTTTTTGTTTTGAGCTGTTTGAATATTTTGTTTTTTCCCCAATTACATGTAAAAGACTCTCGAGTCTTGATTTGAACCTATTAAAATGCCTTGCTTACATTACTAGAAAAACCATGAAAACAAAAGATGCTGTTTTTCTGGGACGTGATGAGAAGCTCAAGAACTGTTTTATTACCAATTTGCTTGGAGGATAATCATCTCCCTGGTAATTATGTTTTATCTTTTTAAAGTGTTCCGTCCTACTCCCCACCACATTTGCACTCCAGTACATCACTGTGATGTGGCGATAAAAATAAGTTATTAAAGGTCACGTTAACAGAGTGGACAATCTGACATCTCCTTTGAAAACCAAGAGCCAGAAAACAGAATGCATGTCAGTCTAGCTAGGCACAGAGAGGTTCATCAGCAGAGGATTGATGGCCAGATAATTGTACTGGCATACAGGGGTGGTCATCTGAGTTAGTGAATTTCTACTGAGGGCATTCCTCAAGCCCAACCCTACAAGTTTTGTTATCATTACTTCATATGCAAGGAAATGAAGGCTCAGAAGTTAAGTGACCTCCCCATGGCAACACAGATAATGTCTGAGGCAGGATGTGAACCCTGGTCTTCTTGACTTCAAGTCCAGTGCTCTAACCATTATGCCATGCTGTCCCTCTTCATCATAATATAAAAATATTCCTGGGTTCCTCATAGATCACAAACTCTGGCAGGTCCCACTAAGCTAGAAAGGCTTCTAATATTGACCCAATAATGGACTTGTCCAAGGTTCAGACTAGCTAAATTTGGAGATGCTCATTGTCAGAAGGTTGGCCACCAGGCCATAAATGTTTTTGGTCAAAGAAACTCTACTAAGCCATAGATGTACTACAATTTAGTTAGAGGAGATAATCATCAACCTTTTGATATGCTGATGAAGAAATGATTAGAGTGTTATAGATGCTTAGGGTAGGAAGGCAGAATTCCTGGTCTTGCAGGATGATACCATTCCAAAGAAGGAAACTCTGTTGTCTCTTTTGACAGCCTAGTAAAAGACTCTGCATGTTCAGAAAATTCCTCTTCATTTCTAACCATAAAGAATACTATAGTTCAATTTCCTCTTATTTCAGCCTCAGTAGAGGTGAACAGCTATGGGTCATTGTTATTTGCATTTCTTTGTATTCCCAGTCCTTGGCAAAGTGCTTGACACATAGTAGGAGCATATTAAATCCTTGTTGAATGAATGAATGAATAGCTGGTTGCTACCTTCCATATAGTAAACCTGGATATATTCAAAGACTATTAACAAATCTCACCTCTGTCTCATCTTCTCCAGGTTAAATAATTCCCTACTGCCTATGGGATATAATCCAAATTCATTAGGATCATGGGCTAGTTCAAAAATATTAATGGAGTATTTGAATTGTTCATCTTGCTATGGTAATAAGATGTTCTTATATTACTGACACTCCTTCATTCAATCTCCTACCAAAAATTCCTTCTTTATTTGAGGGATGGAACCATGCATACCCAGGAAGAGCCTTCAGACCACTGCTGATACATAAACTGTAACAGGGACAGGGGAGGGGGGCACTAGACTTGAAGTGCTAGAAATGCCTGGTTGTTAAGAATCAGAGACTTATTCTTTACTCTTCCTCTCCCCTTCACACTTTCACTATAGCTGTTCTTCCAAAATTTAGCCCATGGTCCTTTTCTTTTAGAGAACTGGACTTGGAATCTTGAAGATCTGGGTTAAAATTCTGTCTCATATACTTTTACTAGCTATATGAATCTGGGTAGGTTGAAACTTCTCCATGCCTCGGTTTCTTCATCTGTAAAATAATGTGGCTTGATGATCTCTAAGGTTATTTCCACCTCTAAAATCTATGATCTTATGATCTATACCCTCTTTTGAGATTGCATACATTCCAACAACTTTGACTTCCACACAGATGACTTCCAAATCTACACAACTTGTAACTTTATCTTTTTTTTCCCCAAGCATCTGTTTTACAATTCCAATGCTTACTGGGCATTTACACTTGGATACCTATAGTCAGCTCACATTAAATGTGCCTAAAACAGAATTCATTCTCTTCACTGCAAAACTGATATTCCTTCCTTCCCCTTCTCCATCCCCATCAACTTCCCTATTTTCATCAATGATGTCATTTTCTCCCAGGAACCTATGCTGAAAATGTTCAAGTCATATCCATTTCATTCCTTTCTTGGCCAATACCCAAACAGTTACTAAATCCCATTGATTGTTTCTTTATTCTATCTCTCCATGGTATAAAGAATCTGTCCCTGACTTTCCATCAGACTCTCATCACCTTACAATGGATTATTACGATAGCCTTTTAATTGGTCTTCCAGACTCCAGTACCGTCTTCTACTTCATTCTACAAATTAATTCCAATTAATACAGATAACTATCCTCAAAATACTGTGTTTAAGATAAAACACAAAAATTTAAAAATCTTCCATGACTCCCCATTGCCTACTTTGGATAAACTCCAAATCCATTAGTCTGGCATTCAAGATCTTCCACTATCTAGGCTCAATCTACTTTCACAACTTTATCTCCCCCTAATCCTTAACACAAACTTTCAGTCCCAGCTAAACTTGTACCCATCTCAGCATACCTTGAGGACATCTTCCTCCACACCTTTTTTTCAACTTATTCTTGACACATAGAATCTCCCATTGCTTTGCACTAATTAAATCCTACCTACTCTTCAAAGCCCAATTACAGTTACCATCTCTTTTGTGAAACCTTCCCAACCCACAATAATCTCTCTTTTTTTTTTTTTTGAACCACCATAGGATGCATTATCTCTTCTGCTCATTGGGTATACAATATACAATGCAAGAAAGTTCTCACCACCAAAGTCAGTCATTGGCATTGTCCAACCAACACCAGAAACTGATATGATTTTATCATTAGAAATCACATTAACAAAAGGCAACATCATCATCTTTCCATCTGTCTTGCAGGTGAAACTTTCCATATGTGCTGTGTCTCCCATTACTAAGTGAGCTCCTGGAGAGAAGGGACTATCTTACTTTTCTATTTATACCTTCAGTATTGGGCAAAGCAAGCACTTGACAAATGTTTCTATCATTCATTCATTCATTCATTCATTCTTGGGATGTGCTTTTCTCTCTAAAGATAAAAAGCCCCTTGAGGGTAGCAACTATGTCTGATATTCCTTTGTATGCCTCACATAGTCTAGAATGGTAGCAGAAGAGTTACTTCATAAATAGTTATTATTTTATAAATTGATTTCCACGGCATCTTACCTAGCCATCTTTTTTCATGCTTAAATATGAAGCAAAGGGAAACAAATAAGAATTGTAATTGCATCTTGCATTTGTAGCTTGGCTAAGCATCTTACATTAATAGGTCTCTTCAGGTTTACCCTAAGTGCTAATAATTTCTAAGCATTTTGATGATAGCACTTTCTCCTTAAGATAAATTGACCTCAGCTAAGAGCCTAACTCTTTCCCCAAATCTCATTACAATCAGCTTAGGTGGTTCATGGCTTTAAAAGGGAACAAAATTAGAGCTTTTAAATCATTCTCTCTGCTCTGGGAGCATCTGCATTAATAAAGAGGGATTTGGACTACAGAAGAAAGACAGGAATCTCTCTCCTGATTGCATGTGATAACTATTATCATTCTCACCATCCCCCTGTTATGCCAATCACCATTAAGACAACTGGCAAGAAGCCACTTTAACTCTCAGGTAGGGTAGGGATGCCTTGGTCAATGTCAAGGAGCAAGACTTTCAGCTTGCCCTCCACAAGAAGGTACTGACAACAGGACACGTAGAAATCAGCTTTTGCTATGAATTACCAAGGTAAGTGGGAAGCCATTTCACTGAGTCATTGAATATTAGAACTACAAGGTAGGGACTGGATCTGTGATTTCATTGGTGCAAGAAACTCCCAGGTGAGGGAACTACCTCAACCAAAGCAGTCGGCATATTTTCTGCAATTTTGAGTCTGCATAAGTTTCATATGACACTAAAAGGTTATGTGCCTTGGGTCACATAGTCAGTATGGATTAGAGGTAGGACTTGAATGTGGGTCTTCCTGGCTCTGAGGCTAGCACTCTATCTGCTACCAAGCTAGGATAGACCTTCTAATTCTTCTTGTCTAAACCCTTCATTTTACAGTGAGCAAATGGAGCTGCTTAATGATTTGACTAAGGTGCATTGAACTGGAATGTGGTAAAGCCAGGAAGTGTTTTCTTTTTCCAGAACTTCTCCCAGCAAAATATTGATGGCCAGGTTTAATGGGTACAACAACACTGACACTCCTCTCCCCTCCAACTTAAAGCAATCATCATTATTGTGATATTAATGAAGATCATGCAAGATTCTTCTCCAGTACCTCTAATTAGCTAAATTACATGAAGGACACAAAGTGTGGTACCGTAAAATGGCACTAGCTAAGGAGTCAGAGGATCTGGGTTCAAATTCCACCTCTGAGGTTTGCTCCCTGTGAAGAAAGCACTTCTAAGCACTTCCCTTGGGCAAGTGACTTAATGTCCCTAAAACTTGGGTTCCTCCTCTGTAAAAAGAGTGGTTGAACTAAAGGACCTCAGAAGTCCTTTTCAGCTCAGTATTGATTATTCCATGATCTAAAATGTTACCATGGCATGTAAACTAGATTTGGAGTTATTGGACCTGGGTTTGAGCCCCAATTCCACAACTTGCCAAGGAAATCTCTCCATATTTTTGAGCCTCAATGTCTTTATAAAATAGAGAAGGTGGTATTATTCACATGGCTGTTGTGAGAAAATACTTTGTAAAGGGGTAAAGAATTGTTTAAGTGTAGGCCATATATGAGAATTGTTAAAGCATCTGCTTCTCTATGTCAAATCACCCAGGTCATTTTGGTGCATGTGGAGCATACTTCTCAATCACCTCCTAGATGTGGCATGTGCAGGATTCCCAAATTGTGATTGACACCATGTGGACATCAACTCCTGGCTGAGCAGACCTTCAGCTGCTGTGCTGTCACAGATTGACAGTATCTGAGTTGGAAGAGAACTCAAAGGCCAGCTGGGCCTACTTATACCTGTCTGGTCGTCATCTGCAAAATGAGGGTGTTTGACCAGATGATAAGTGATATTTATGTGGGGCTTTTCCATTTGCAAAGAACTGTCCATATAATTATCTCATTTTATTCTCCCAGGGAGGGGCTGAAAAACAGAGGAGAGGGTGGCACTTGGAGTCCTGTAATGCCCAGGTTTGAATCCCACCTTTGATATGTGTGTTTTTTTAAAGGCAAGGAAGAGTGAATTTCTACAAGGTGGCCTTTAAAAGCTTTGAGAAGAAAAAAATGACCACATATTGAACCCAATGAAGTAATCACTACAGGTATTATCATTCTCATTTTATAGATGAGGAAACTGAAGCTCAGAGAGATATCCTGCCAGTGGTCATACACAAGGCAAAATTTGAACCCAGGTCTTCTGAATTCTAATTCTACTATTATGTTACACTGCCTTATATGATCACAAAGGTCCTAGCTAGCTCTAACCATCTATGATTCTGCTTCATAAAATATAATATAATACAAAACATAAACTATCACCATTATTTTCAATGCATAAAGAGCTGGTGGCCATGTCCCCTAAGGATCTCCTGGAAATTATTCCTGAGAAGTGACCATCTCTCCAGTATGGAATAGCCCCACAACAACCTGTTTTCCACCACAGAAACCTGAGTTTTTTCTTTCAGATTGGATTTGAAGTGTTCTGTAAGGTCTAACAAGAAGGGGTTGGGTGATGAGACAGGGGGACCTCCCTAGACTGAATAAAATTAGCTGTCTGAATTCAAATGGACTTGAAAAGAAATGTCTGTGGCAATGGATGTCCTTAACAGAATGGTTGGAAGAACTTTTAAACAGTAATAGTCAGCAGAGTGCTTTGTTCCATATGGAAAAACTCTACCTTTCTTTCATAACAGTTTAATTAGTAACAGGAAGCAAATTCATTTGTACCAGCTTTCTTACTCTAGAACTCATTTCTCCCCAAATGATCAACAGGTTCTTTCTTTGTCACCATTTATGAACTTAAACAACGCAATTCCTTTCAGTAAGGGAGAACTCAGTGGATTGAAATGACTGAGACAGATTTCAGCTCAATACCAGGGAAAAAATGCTTACTAAACGAGAGCTAATAAAGAGTGATTTGACCAGGGGTAGCAAGTTCACTTATTATTGGAGATCTGAAAACAGAGGCTGAATGATCACTTATTGGGATGTAAACTGTCGGATCCATAGTCTTATCATCTGTTGTCATGAACCTCTTTGGCAGTCTGGTGAAGCCTATGGATCCTCTTCTCAGAATAATGTTTTTAAATGCATACAATGAAATATGTAGGGTTGCAAAAGATACCAGAGACACTAGGTGGCACAGTGGTAGAGCACCAGGCCTGATTTCAAATCTGGACTCAGACACTTATTAGCTATAGAACCCTGGACAATTCACTTAACCCTATCTGCCTCAGTTTCCTCATCTATAAAATGAGCTTGAGAAGGGAATGGCAAATCATTCCATTATCTTTGCCAAGAAAACCCCAAATGGGGTCACAGAGAATTGGACATGACTGAAAATACTGAACATCAAAAGACACCAATTACATTGAAAATACAGTAATCAAAATACATATTTTAAAAAAACCAAGTTCGTGGACCTCAAGTTAAGAACCTCTGGAGTAGATAATAGCATTAAGAGTTCACATTTTTGTGGCACTTTAAAGTTTGCAAAGAGCTTTGTATACATTATCTTATTTGATCCTCACAATAACCTTCTGAGATAGGTTCCAGTATTATCTCCATTTTACAAATGAGGAAATAGATTGAGAGAGGTTAAGTTGCTTGCTCAGGTCCCCAGTGCTAGAAAGCATCTGAAGCAAGATTTGGACTCATAATCACAGTTTTTGAGAGTTGGAAGGGGGAGGTATTTCTTGATGAGTTTTTAGCAAAAATGCCTTCTGGTTTAGGCTGGGGAATTTAGGGGAGTCCAACCTGTTAGCATCTTCAGAGGGAATTTGTAGGAATTCAGATGGGAGAATTTAGAAGAATGGTGAGAGCAGAGGAAAATACTATATAGCATAATGGATGCCAAGAGAATGTCTGAGGTGGGGTAGGCATAAGGAGAGACGGGAAGGATGGAGTCTATATATAGGGAGGAATGAAGGGTTAACCCATACTTGAACCATGATTCTGAGTTCTGAATTGTTTTTGAACTGAATTCAATGGTTCATTATACCTAGTGAACCAGGATAGGCATCCGGGGCAGATAGCCCCACTTAAAGCATTTGCACTCACAGAATCACAGACTTTGAGAGTTGGAAGGGCCTTCAGCAGCCATCCAGTCCAACCCACACATGAGAGAAATCCCTTTCTCAAAAGCCTCAGTTTCCTCATCTGTAAAATGAGAATAATAATAAGGCCTACCTCACAGGATGTTGTGAGCATCAAGTAAGATAATATTTCTAAAGTGCTTTGCAAACCTTAAAACACTAGATAAATGCTAGTTATTGTTATTATTATTATTATATAATTTTGCCATTCAGCTTTCTGAAGCAAATAAGACAAACAAATCACTCATCTCTCTAAAGAATGGATGGACCTATCTCTGAGGTAATTATTGGAGACACTGTCCTATGTTTTCATCAGTACCATCAGTTTCAAATAACTGTAAGGAGAGAGAAAAAATGGCTTTCCTTTTCCCCTTTTCTTCTCCAACCAATCTGACAAAACTTATTTGAGTCCAGAAATTCTGATTGAAAATGCTATGCTGCAAATTGCCTTATGCTCTCATTAATTTGGATTGTACCAACCATTACCTTCTAAGCAATTAATCCCCCAACACTAATTTCTTGACTAGAATTACCCTAGCCCTGACAAGTGGTTTTCTTCACAGTAAGGAAGGCGGCAGCAAATTTCCCTAGCTTGTGTAAGGGAGCGTGACAAACATGGGCAGTTTATGATGCTTTCATCATCATTGAGTTATCAACATTTATCCCCATCAAGGGGAAAGAAAGGGCTGCTGAGTGGTGACGGCCTTTACAATTATCCAGGTCCATTTACTGACATCTTCGAGATGTACTAGTGCTTCATGCTCACTTTTAGAAGCCATGGAAGCAAGGCCAGTGGGCTGAAAGTCCCAGACACAACTGAAATTGCCAAGATCTGAAAATGGGCTGACATATGAAAGGCAACTAAAGAAACAAATGAGACTTCTCAGTCGATTGGCCACAGGCTAGCTCCTCAGCCATTCCCGTCTAAAGCACGGGGTGGGCACAGCTCTAGGGGGATGGAAAATAGTTTCATTTTGATAGTTTCCTGACTGCCTGCTGCTTCAGGTGTCTGAATGAATCCTCCCAGGGAATTCTGGGAACAAAAAAAGCTCTCTAAACAGAGGAGATGTCAGGGGGCATTTTGGTGGCACTAACAGGAGATCCAGTGTTTCTCCTGCTGGGAATAATTGAGGTAAGGCAGCCAGGGCAGATGGAGAAGAATGAACTAGAAAAAAAAAACTGCACCTGGTTACAGAATCCAGAGTTCTAATCCAGGTTCTGCTATTAACTAGCTTGGTAACTTTAGGGCAAGCCACTTCACTCAGAATCTCTGGGTCTTTGGTTCCTCATCTCCCCTCTCCAGACCTTGAAGTCTATGATTAAAAAGGTCAGTTGATAAGTATTTATTAAGTGTCTACTATGTGCTTGGCACTGTGCCCTACCTAAGGGTATACAAAGGCAAAAGACAAACCCTGCTCTCAAGGAATAAAAACAACTATATACAAACAAAATATCTATGGGATAAATTAGAGATAATCAAAAAAGGAAAGGCATTGTTATCAGGAAAGGCTTCTCATAGATGATGGGATTTTAGTTGCGACTTGAAGAATGTCAGGGAGGCCAGGAGGCAGAGATGAAGAAGGAGAGAATGACAGGCATGAGGAACAACCAGTGAAAACGTTTGGAGTTGGGTTATGGAGTATCTTACCTGAGAACAGCTAAGACATCAGTATCATTGAATCACAGAATAAGAGGAGGAGGTAAGGTATAAGAAGATTGGAAAAATGGGGGGGGGCAGGTTGTAAAAGATTTTGAATGCCAGAGAATCCTGGAAGTGATATGGAGACACAGGAGACTATTGAATAGAAAGGTAACATGATCAGATAATTAACCAAAGGAAAGTGAGAAGGGTAAAGTGGTGGAAATTCTTCCAAACAATGAAATTCTAATCATTTGAATGCATCATTTAGGGAAAAGCAAACAACAACAAACCCAGAACAAATTCTCAGACTACTAAAGGCATTTCTTGGCTTTGATATCAAAGTTACTTTTCCCCAGACTGCAAACATTAACATTTCAAGCATTTCTCTGCTTCCCTGAGCAGAAACCCAGAGATCTCTCCCTAAGATTATACTCCAATACTGTCAGGACTTGAGATTTCATCAGTTATGAATACAAGCTGCACTAATGAAGGTCACCAACTCCTTCAGTCTTTATCAAGAATCTTCAAGGATGGTAATGGTCTTCCCAATTTCATCACCTGGTGTCCATCCTCTTGGCAATGAAACTCTCTGAATTTAGTTAGGCTGGTCTTCAATGACAGACATACCCCATATTCTAAGCTTTTCCAGCTTGGTACAACCTGTCACAATTGATGCATCACTGACATAGCTATTGAAAACCAACAGTCAACTCCATATGTGAATGAGGCATTGAAATAAAACTCCTCTTTTTAACTGTTTCTTCTCTTTCTCCTTCATTGGCTTCTTGTCTCCAACACCTTCAAACAGTATCCCCAAGGTTTTATCCTTGACTTTGTTTTCATTTCTTTTTACATTTCCACCTTTGGAAATCTTCATCAGTGCCCAAGGTTTCAACTACTACCTATACACAGTCATTTTGTGACTTCCATGTACAAGGGACTAGGCTAGACACTTTTATTCTATTTAATTATTTTTC